CGTTATTTTTAGTGGCTACCTTTATTTAAGTAGACGTTCCGTTTTTGTTTTTCTGAACAGTATTTATTTTGACTATAGGCCTGCACATTCGAAAAAAAACTTGTCAAAGAAAATGTACTCTTCGACAGAATTCGAACCTTTGTCCCCTTCGGCAGGGAAAAACGCTTTCTTATCCGCGTTTTAACCACTCACCTACAAAAGTGCATTATAATCAAGAAAATTTCTAATTTGATTTTGAAAAATACTTACTCGTTCATATGTTCTTGAGGGGAAAAAAGTAATTAAAATATGCCGAATTTTAAAAAAAAACTATGCCGGATTAAGAAAATATATATGCCAGATTAAAAATATCTGGATTAAAAAATAAAATCCATAATTCTTTATATACGGTGTGAAGAAAACAACCGAAGAATATATCACCGCTCACCAGAGTGGCTAGACATCCGATTGCCTCAAGCCAGCAACGAAACCCAACCGATTTGGCATCAGTCGTAGATTTTTTCCCCTAAGCAGAGAGGAAGATGAATTTTTCTTGTATTTATTTTAGAATAAACACGCCATTGCCTCAGAGTTCTTAATTCATAGACGAGCTTTTGCATTAACAGAAGAAAGTCACTCTTTACAAATTCTTGCTTTTCCCTCTAAAGTGCTTGACTGGGGGAGCGTATATATGTGTCATCCATAGCTCATTAGTGTGCCTAGACCTTCGATTGCCTCAAGCCAGAATCGAAACCCAATTTGGCATCAGTCGGAGATTTTTTTTTTCCTGAGCTATCAGCTCCCGGCGGAGAGGAAGATGAATTTTTACGTATTTATTTCAGAATAAACACGTCAGTGCTCAATTCATAGATGAGATTTTGCATCAGAAGTAGATGTTTATATGAAGTGAGGAAAATTGTTATACGTGCTTTGGCTAACACCCGTCTCTTGACTTAGCTTCCTCGTCGATTTTTTGGGGGCCGTTTGTCAGAGTTGCTAAAACAATCGCCGTTTATATCATATCGGTTGCACTTTTCGGTTTGACACTTCGCGGACGATCAGTGACACTACCATTTTCTTTCAAACTATTAATTAGGCGTCCAATAGTTGACTTATCAACAGGGAGCCGATGTGGATGCTGCATGTTGAATTCCTTTGCAAAATATCTGTGTGTAGCACCTACTTTCCAAGACAGGAATACCAAGGTAATTCATTCGTCCTTTGTTATTTATCAGTCATCTTACTTCGTCAAAATTGTTTCTACAACACAAGACATCTAAAAAATGATTAAATAATTAACCCCTATGGTGGCCGTATTTTACCCCACCCCCTCTCTATCTCTCTCTCTCTCTCTCTATATATATATATATATATATATATATATATATATATATATATATATATATATATATATATATATATTGGCTCCTGAAATATCTGGGGACGAGGTGTGGGTTGGTAAGCAGTGACTATTATAGCTATATAGCGAGACTCTTCGCAGATGCGAATTGAGTCACTGTCGGTCACTGGGCATGTTTCTAAAAATAAATACGCTAAAAAAATCAACTTTCATCCCTACGACGGCTTAATGGTTAGAATCTCCGACTGACACCCATTCAGTCGGGTTTCGATCCTAGCTAGAGGCAACCGGATGTCTAGCCACACTGATGAGCTGCGAAACAGTCTGTCTGTGGATGACGTTATATATATATATATATATATAAACTGCATATATATATTAAACTGCATCTCCAAAAATGTGATTTATGCACTCAAATGAACAAAATGCAACAGAGTTTCCCTTCACAAAAGCAACATTAAATTACCAGACAACAGAAAATATTTTGCATCACAACACATCTACAAATGTAATCAAGGTAAATTTAGAATTATGACAATATATCAAACAGGTAATTATTCTTACCTACAACTATAACAAAAAACTTCATAGACAAATTTAAACCAGCACTAAATAGAACATAACCTCACACACATAAATACACAGATAATGGCCAAAGACTCTTGTCAGACCACACACACACATACATACATATACACACACAAATATCTATGGATAACGAATATATATACACATACTGGCAAAAACAAACACACTAGACTGACCACAAGCACACATACAAACACACACGCCTAAATTCTTACCTACAAATATTAGAAAAAAACTTCATAGACAAATTTAAACCAGCACGAAAAAGATCATAACTTCACACACATAAACACACAGCATACACAGATAATGGCCAAACACTCTCGTCTGACCACACACACACATACAAATACATACACACACAAATATCTATGGATAACGAATATATATACACATACTGCCAAAAACAAACACACTAGCCTGACCACAAGCACACACATAAATAGACACACACACGAACCCTACACACCATAAGAAGTGTAAGTATATATATATATATATATATATATATATATATATATATATATATATATGAGTGTGTGTGTGTATATATATATATATATATATATATATATATATATATATACTAAATCTTTATAATAAAACAATATATATATATATATATATGTATGAAGAAGGATTTTGTAAACACATACTCACAAAAAGACACCTGCACACACAATACACAATAATGGCGATAGGTTTAAAAGATACAGAGGTCATGAAAAAGATAAGAACAAAGAAATCTTACCTTCGCCCTTTCTCTGACCAATTCTAATTGTTTTATTGCCTCCTTTAGCCGAAAAATATTTTCGCCACAAGTTCAAGAAAATATGGATTACGACTACACACAAAAGTCTCTGGTTTAACATCGGAAACATAAGGAAAATTAATTCCTTTAAATAGTTAACTATTACCAGCAATACTTTTTTGAAAAAATTATTACAAGCAATACAATTTTGATAGAAAAAGATTACCAAAAACAGATTGTTGACAAAACAAAATATTACCAGCAATAAAAATATTTGTCAGCATTAAATAACCCACTGAGGTTGATATGCCGTAAAACAAAATAAACCAAACCAAAGAATACATACTCTATTCATACGAATCTATCCTAAAAATTTTGTCAGCATTAAATAACCCATTGAGGTTGATATACCGTAAAACAAAATAAACTAAACCAATCTAAACCAAAGAATACATACTCTATTCATACGAATCTATCCTAAAAATGTGGTCGGCATTAAATAACCCATTGAGGTTGATATACCGTAAAACAAAATAATCCAAACCAAACATCAAATGAAATATTTATTAATGACAGAAGCAAAACATCATCCTAGTGGTCATCACCAATGTTGTACTTAAATGACTTTTAGTAGATTTCATTTTCCAAAAAATTTGTTCACAAGCATATGTACTTCCAAATAATGACACCATCAATTTCACATTATTTAATAGGCTTTTATATTTTCTGCTTGTCAATACATATTTCTTGTAGAAGTCAGCAATGGATTCGGAATAAAATTTTTATTTTAAAAATTCGCCGAAATGTAAGTCAATTAATTTCAAATAATATTTTTTTCTGCAACTTGTTCCACAAATTAATTACATAATTACTTCCCATGTACTAAGCCGGCGGACCGGACAAAAGTCCTTCGCGGACCGGATGTGGCTGGGGGTTGCCGATCCCTGATATACAAGCTAAGCTTAGTAAATCACCTGGGCAATTCGACGTGATGTAATGGTTAGTTAGTATACCTCGCTAAATCCACTGCGGCTGAGTAGTCAATTCAGTATTCACTGGGCGCTTCATATTTTCACCATGTGTCGCATCTAAGCTGTTTTTAGTAAATCACTGTGAGGCGGATCTTGCACATCAGGACGTCGTGTAATGGTTAACAAGCGTGTCACGTTAGATCAATTACGAATGAGTAGCGATTTCAATTCTCATTGGGTACCCCGTAGTTGTGGCTTTGTGATATACTTAAGTGACGCTTCTTCATTTACTTTGTCACCTCCATGTTGTGTAATATTGAGCAAGCTTGTCAAGTAACAAAATCTTTACAAAAACCACCAGTCGTGCAGCACATAAAATACCGGAAGTAGAGAAATCTACTTCCTGTGAAAAATCTATTTCGCTGCGGATTTTTTAAAAATATGTCCTATTAGGCACGTCGTTTTTTGAACCGTGATATTGCACTCAATGTGAAAGTTATGGTTTCATATAATTAATAAACAGACAAAATATGTTTTTTTTCGAATTGTTACCATTTTTTGAAGAAATGAGTTTAATAATTAAGTTTAAGCTCAAAATTGTAGCGTCAGAATTTAATTTTTGTGATAGCGAAAGCCTTAGCGCAACCATATAAAATTTATAAATAACACTTTGCAGGTTATTTAAAGCTAGAAAATATTTTTGATTTTAACCTTTTTTTTTAGACAATAATGGTTTTAGTAACATAAGTCTTACTAATTAATCCATAGCTGGGGAGAGAAGAAGTGGATCCATACCTTCCTCAAGGGTAGTTGCTCCTAAAAAATATAATAAACGCAATTGGAATTGAAACTCGGTTCTCCAATTAACAATATTGAGCTATTATCCAATACACCACCCACACATCCAAACTGTCAACTGTCTAAGAACTGACCAGATTCATCGTTGCTTAACTTCGGAAATCGGTATTTTAACGTGATGTGGCCGTAAGCAATAACAGCCAGAATTCAAGGGGACATAAGGTGACGATTGATATTGTATCTTTGAATTTGTCGTTGGTGGGAGAGCAAGAAACAGGAAGAAAGTTCCAGAATCGGAAAGTGCGAGAAAATAAATTGTTTGAGCAGAAGTTATGGCTACATCTATCAATTTCGGGAGCGCCCTAATAGCTCAATAGCGTGGGAAACTAGTTGATTACATTCAATACCTCAAAACAAAACTAGTAACTGTCAATCATCACTAAGTAGACTCCAAATATTCGTTTATCGGAATGAACAGGTGTTCTTTCAAGAAAGCCTTGAAGGTCTGTTGGGTCTTAAGCTCACTACAGACCTCAACTGGAACTCGGGGGGCTTACGGTCACATCAAGGTTGAAACCCCGGTTCCCGTAATGTCACAGAAGTTAAGCAACATCGAACTTGGTTAGTATCTAGATAGGTGACCGCTTGAGAATATAAAGAGTTGTAAGCTTGGATGTGCGGGTGGTGTAATGGATAAGGGTCGGAATTGGAAATCGGAGAGCAAATTTCCAATTCCCGTTGGGTTTCTTATATTCACTTGTGAAAGCTATCAATCTAACTCTTCTCCCCAGCTATGGATTAATTAATAAGACTTGTATCACTAAAACCATTATTATCTCCAAAATATTCTTACAATCTAAAAAAATATTTTATGGCTTTAAATAACCCGCAAAGTGTTGATAAGCCGTAGAAAACGAATCAATCATTTAATCAAATACTGATTAGCTAAACAGGCATGTCTTTTAGATTTATTTAAATTCTCTGAAGTATTGAATGTTGGTTGGTTGATTTTGTTTAGGCGGCATATCAACACCTCTATGGGTTATTTGAAATCTAAATATTTGAACACATTTTTGGCTCCAACTAAATATATCTTGAACGCAATTGTATGCTTTCAACAACAAATAAAATGAATTGTTGATCATTTTACTATAAAATATATTGCTGATAATTATACTATAAAATATATTTCTGGACATTTTGCGTTAAAAATGTATTGTTTGTCCTTTTAATATAAATATGTATTGCTGGTCATCTCTTTTATATATAACAAATAATGCTGGTATTTTGACTATAAATATGTATTTTTATACTTTCATAGTATCGTTTTTGTTTGCGGGTTTACTATGTGCCTATAGCTGGGACCCTAACAGGTAAGGGTGAACCTGAGACAGATAACAAGTTTCAAGCCCCTCGTTACTCTCTCTCTCTCTCTCTCTCTCTCTCTTATATATATATATATATATATATATATATATATATATATATATTCGTAGTAAATGTTCTCTAAAACTCTAACCGACACAGCGAAGACCTGCCATGTCACGCCACGTAGACTGAGATGGACCAACCTTATTCTCTCTGTATTTCACTCGAATGCCTTCTACCCACAAACCGTAATATTGTGGAACTGACTCCCACGAGGATGCTTTCCTGGACAGTACAATCTTGACTTGTTCAAGTATAGGGTTAATCATTATCTTTTCCACATATTCCCATAAGCAACTCCTCTTATTTCTGACTTTTGCCGCTCAGACAAAACCTCCTACAGTAACCGTCTACCTTTGTATAGGGTGAACATAAGTAGAAAAAGTGGTAAAATGTAGTACTATGCCTAAGTCGATGTACTAAAGAGAAAAGCTTATCCGAACAATTGTCTTGAAAATATTTATAGAAAGATCCAAGGAAATTACGTTACGGCAGCGGGAAAATGACTAAAATCGAGATGTTAGGTCAGGATGGATAATAATGCAGATACAACTCTACTTGCGTTTGTCATAAAATTTAACCCCGTGAACTGAATAACAGATTCAGTTCAAAGTTTTGAGATTACTGAGTTCTAAAAAGGCCTGAAAAGACCGGGGAAGGGAACGGATGAAACAGTGCATCTATCCTGGTTATGATGATAAACTACGTCCAACAGGATCAGGTGATTTTAAGGAGAGTGGAACCACCTCTTAATTGCTGGTGTTCCCAGGTTTACTCTGACCCGGGGTGGTAGCACCTGTTAGGGTCCCAGCCATGGGCAAATAGTTAACCCACAAATTTGGGTTAAAATACTATGAAAGTGTATAAATAGGTTTTAATACTAGAAATACTTTGTAAGAAAAATTATTACCAGCAATAATTTTTTGAAGAAAAAAATTATTACCAGCAATACTTTTAAAAAAATATTACCAACTATACATTTCTGAAAAAAAAATATTACCAGCTATACATTATTTTTGAGAAATATATTACCAGAAATAGATTTTTGAAGGAAAAATATTACCAGCAATATTTTTTTTTTGGGGGGGGGAAACATAACCCATTGAGGTTGACATGCCGTAAAACAAAACAAAACAAAACAAACAGTGCCTATCTAACAACTAAGGGTAGGATGCTCATTCAAAAAGAAAAAAGCATATGTTTATAAAACATCATCTAAAACATTCTGATATCAGTCTAACTTGATCACTGATTGCTCCACTTTCCAAAACATGTTAGAAGCATATTTTATTTGTATTGCAACAACCCTATGGCTTTGTTATTTTTAATTAAATTAATTTTTTTTCTTTATAATTTTTGACTAGAATTTTCATTTAAGTTTTAGTTGCTTTTTATCACAACTTCACTCATAACGACTGACGTCAGGAGACAGAGCGGATAGGACATTAAAATTTATTACAGTTACGATAAAAAGAAAATCAAAAGAAAGATGAAATTAAATATTAGTAATCTCATTACACCGTACATGTACAAACAGTGTAATTCTTAGAAACTCGAAAAGCAAAATCTGCTAGAAAATCTGCTAGGGTTCAAATTCCGGCCATGATAATTCCATTCACTTTTGCACATAAACCCTTAACAAAAAATATTTAATCCATTTCATAAGTTATGGCTTTAAATAGTAGAGCAGACTGAATTCTATAATGCTTGTAGAATGAGAGCCCTGACGTGCCACATACTTAAACTGTAACAACATAAAATGCATTAAAAATCGCAGGTTGGCTCAGTGGCCGTCGAAAATACAAATGGGTTTGAGCAGATGCGCATGCGTGGAAATGAGAAACCACGAGGAAGATGAGAAATCGTAATGATCTGCAGTATGCTTCATCTAAAAAGTAAATATTTATTTAAAAAAAAAAACTATTAATAATAGCTAACAATACTGCATCTAAATAAAAAGAAGATTAAAATAAATGTTAGTGGTTAATTAATAAAAATGGCTGACAATGCTTCATCTTGAAAAATAAAGTTGAAATTAAATACGTCAAAATTAATAATATCTGACAATGCTTTATTTAAATTTAAATATCTGCCAATAATAATGCTTTATTAAAAATAAATTTCAAAATAAATAATAATATCTGACAATGCTTTATTTAAATTTAAGATTAAATTACATGCCAATAATAATGGCTGACAATGCTACGTCTTGAAAAATATAGTTAAAAATAAATACTAATCAAAATTAATAATAGCTGACAATGCTTTATCAAATCAAAATTTAATATTATAATAAATTCCAGTGGTAAATGAATAATAATGGCTAACAATACTTCATCTAATAACAAATAAATGTAATCCTATTACTATTTCTATACTGTTTTGACCAAAAGAAAACAATTTAATCCTTAGAATAGACCGAACTTTAGTAGAGTTTTGTCCACACGGACAACTCTTGTTAAGATTTTCGCTGGAAATGTTAGAGAAAAAATACATTTGGTGATTAATCGACATCAGAAATAAATAAATCGTGAATTGTCGGAGAAAACTTTGTAATTGTTGCTTTATTCTTCATTCTGCGGTCACAAAGAAATTTACGTTGATATGTATCCATCATTCAAGTTACACGTATATGTCGATCAATTATTGACCTGGGTTTAACCCAAAATATATATATTGACACTTTGAACTGCTTCATAAATTAAAGGGTCTATATAAAGAAATACTATTTTGGGAATAGTCAGAATCCAGACAGAAGCCAAGGTCATATCGACAGATATTTAATTTGATGTTCATCTGAAATGCAAAGAATCTGACAATGGAAAAATGTATTTCTTTTTACAATGTAAGACATCAATTGTTTCTTACCCTTTTGCTTCTTGTTTTACCGTCATGAAGAGAAGTCATGGAAATATTTATTCATTATAATTACAGGGTTCATTAAATTAGCAAATTCTATAATATTAAGAAAATATATATTAGTGGATATTTTTTAAGGAAACTGATTTATTCTTTTATGTTGTTTTTTTTAAATAAATAAAAGGCAAATTCTGTCTGTCCGTCCGTGTGTTTAAAAACCCTATAACTCGGGTTACACTTACTTTATATACACATATTATACATTTTTAAAATCAGAATGATCCTGGGATAGAATATCTGCCGTTTACCTGGTGCGTGAATATCAACCATTGAGATTTGTGTTCGATGAGGAAGAAAGAGTTGAAAATTAAAATTTTGAAATAACTGAAAAAAAATAGTGATTTTAAAAGTTTTTTTAATTTATATTGTGTTTAAAGTAAACACAAAAACTTTGTGAATTTAAAAAAAAAAATGTTTTAAATTCAGTTTAAAATATCTCTAAAACTTTTTGATTTAAGGAAATCAATTTTATTTCTTCAAAATGTCAAGGAATCTGAGTAAAAGTGAAAGGTTTCGAGACGAGAGTTTGTGATTTGTAGAATGTCGGCCCAAATCGGAGTTTCGGCCCAAATAGGTTTTTTGGCCGGAATTGGACCTATAGCCCGAATCAGAGTTAAAGTGAGGTTTTGAAGTTCCATAGAGTGAACTGAAGAATTCAAAGTTGTTACTTAAAATCATCACAGTTGTTTTCTAGGTTGAACCAGAGGTCCTTACAGTTTTGGGCTAGAGGCCCAATTAGCCCTCCACAACTTGGAAGTCCACATGGAGTGCGGATTTTAACCTACTATTAGTATAAAGGTTATAATTTAGTGTCATTCTTGTTTAAAAAGATAATCGTATTTTTTTTCTTTTGAAGCAGAAATTAAATTGATATCAATTCCCCTGTAAACATAGAAAGTCTTATGAAAGAAAATGTATCTGTTAGCAAGAAGTGAATCGACATTTTGTTTACGTTAGGGTTTTGCTATAGGAGGCTTCGTGGCTGAACCGGTAAAAGTATGCCTGACTAGAAGGTTCTTTTGGCATGATAAAATGCGAATTCATATCCAATGCTTGTCAAGAAATACATTTACTTTCAATACTATATATATATATATATATATATATATATATATATATATATATATATATATATTAATTTTAATTTTTTAATGAAAGACAGGGAAGAAATTCCATTAGAAACTTCTGTCAAATTCTGACAGAGAAGGATCATTCGTAATTTGGAAAAAATGATATTTAAAATTAATCGAAACCATATTTCTGTTGTCTTTAGTTTTAAGAACATTTACTGCCTAAATAGAAATAATATATTGAGCTCTCT